AGGCAGATATTTAAAGGGACCAAATCAAAATAATATTCAAGAGAAAATACACTGTCAAGGAAATTTGAAGGGAATTACTGATATAAAAATATTGAGCATTTTTTCACACATATATGGATCAGGAGAGGAGGACAAGAAACAGAAAAAAATCTATGAAAGTTGATTCTGGTAAAGGAAAGTATCAGAAACCAGGGAAAAGATAACAATTTATTGATATTGGAGTACTTATTTATGTAAAATAAAATTAGGTATCCCTCACACTATACCCCCCCCCAAAAAAAAATCAGTTCCAAGTGGATTAATGCCCTATGAAATGCAAACCTGCAAAATAAAAACAAACACCTCAAAAATGCAAACCATGAAAACAATAAACAAATATGGCTATTTAAATTTCTGCCCAGGGGTGCCTGGGTGCCCTCAGTTGGTTAAGTGTCTGCCTTTAGCTCAGGTCATGATCTCAGGGTCCTGGGATCAAGCCCTGCTCCAGGTTCTCTGCTCAGCGGGGAGTCTGCTTCTCCCTCTCCCATTCCCCCCCTCCCCAGCTCTCTCTCTTTCTCTCAAACATATAAATAAAATCCTTAAAAAAATAAATTTCTGCACAAAAAAGACATCACAAATAATGTGAAAGAAAAGCCACAATCTGGGAGAAAATATTTGCAATGCATATAACTTATAAAAGATTAGTAATCTGAAAAAGAACTGCAAATCCATAGGAAAAAAAATTAGCAAACCATCAGAAAAAAAAGATCCAAGTATGTAAAAAGGTCATTCGTATTAGAGGAAATACGAACATCCAACAAACAAATGAAAATATCTTCAAACTCCTAGAAATCTCAGAAATGCAAATTAAAACAATGAGATTTCTTTTAAAAATATCAGTTGACAAAAACCAAAAATATCAAGATGTGGTAGGTATGTAGAGCAATAGCAATGCTCATATGCTACTGTTGAAACAATAAATTAGCATAACTGATTTGGAGAGCAATGAAGATGCTCATACTTCTAGAACTACCAATTCCGATAATAGGAATAGCTCTAGAGAGCCTCTTCCATATGCATATAAGGAAACATGTATAGAAACATTCTGTAAGATTGATAATAGAGAAAAGTTAGTGTATTCGGATTCTCTAGAAAAACAGAATGAGGGAGAGGGATGGCAGAAGGGGAAGGTGAGAGGAGGGGAAGAGAGATTTTAAGGAAATTGGTTCACATGATTGTAGAGGATGGCAAGTCCAAAATCTGTAGCATAGGCCAACAGATTGGAGACCCAGGGAAGAGATGATGCTGCAGTCTGAGTCCAAAAGGAGTATTTGGCAGAATTCTCTTTTCTTTGAGGGAGGTCAATCATTTTTAGTTAAGGTCTTCAACTGATAAGATGTGGCCCACCAATGTTATGGAGGGTAACTGGCTTTAGTCAAAGTCTACTTTAAATGGTAATCTCGTCTTAAAAATACTTTCACAGAATCACGTAGAATGTTTGACCAAATATCTGGATACCTAGGCCTACCTAAATTAACATAATATTAACTATCATAGTTAGCAACAATCAAAATGCCCATCCAGAACAGAATAGGTAAATACATGGTATTATAGTCATAAAACAGAATACTATATATAACCATAAAAGTGTACAAACCAGAGATACAAATATCAACATGGGCAAGGTACAAAAGAAAAAACAGTGAATGAAAAATTTCAATTGCAGAAGGTATGTATAGTAAGATGCCATTTATATCTTTTTAAAGCCCATGAAAAGTAATATTATATGTTATTTATGGATATTTCTATGGAAATATGTATATATAAATATATATATATTTATATTTATAATATAATAATATATAATATTTATAAAAATGTAATTTATAATATATAAATACATATATTCACATGTATAATAAATATCCACATACACAATGGAAAGAATAATGGCCCCACAAAAATATCCATATTCTGTGTTATGTTACATAGCAAGGGTGAATTAAGTTGCAGATAGAATTAAAGCTGCTAATCAAGTAACCTTAAAATAGGGACATTATCCCTGATTATCCAGCATGGCCCAATGTTATCCCCAGGGTCCTTTAAATGTGGGAGAGAATGCAGAATTGGAGTCAGAGATAGAAATGCTACAATGGAAGCATTTGCTAGTTTTAGAGATGGAAAGAAGCTATAAGCCAAGGAATATAGGTGGCCTATGAAGATGGAAAAGGCAAGGAAAAGGATTGTACCCTAGTGCCTCCAGGAAGAATGAAACTCTTTCAATGTCTTGATTTTAATTTGGTATATTAGTCTGCTTAGGGTACCATAAGAAGATATCACAGACTATAAGGCTTAAAAACAGAAATTTGTTTTCTTACAGTCCTCAAGGTTGGAAGTTCAAGATCCAGGCCCCAGCATGATTGGTTTCAGATGAGAGCTCCCTTCCTGACTTGTAGATGTCCCTTTTGTATGTCCTCACAAGGCCTTGCTTGGTTTGTGTGCATGAAGAGAAGACACTAATCCTATAAGATCAGGGCCACATCCTTTATGCTCATTTAAACTTAATTAGTTCCTTAGAGTGATTAAGTTACCATTGGTGTTAGGGCTTCAACATATGAATTTTGTGGAAACACATTCAATTAATGATGTCTAGTAAGACTCATTTCATACTTTTGGCCTCCAGAAGTTTAAGATAGTAAATTTGTATTGTTTAAAGCCACTAAGTTTGTAGTAGTTTGTTATAGCAGCAATAGTAGACTGATACAGATTTTGGGATCTGGAAGTGGGGTGCTACTGCAACAAATACCTAAAAATGTAGAAGTAGTTTTGGGATTTGGGAATGGGTGGAAGCTGGAAGAATTTTGAGAAGCATGATAGAAAAAGCCAAGATTGCCTTAGGCAGACTGTTCATAGAAATATAGATATAAGTGACTCTGCTCTCAGTACTCAGAAGGAACTGAGGAACATGGTAGAGAAAATACGTACTATTTTAGAGAACACATACCTCATCATGAATAGATTGATAGTAGAAATATGGATTTAAAGGCACCAAAGGCGTGGGCTCAGATGTACATGAATTGGAAACTAGAGGACAGGGGATATTTGTTAGATAATATCAGAAAGCTTAGCTGAACTGTATTCTGCAGTAACAGAATCTTACTATCTTACTCTTTTTAAATTAATAGGTTATCTTACAGGCAGCAACTTTGAGACAGTGTACTATAGTGTTATGAATATGGTAATATAGGAGTACCTCAAACTTTTATCACTGATTTTAGCAACCATTAGTGTTTTCTTGCTGGAATCAAATTATGATGATAATTGCAAGTGGTGATTTTCTAATTCCATCATTTCTTCTACATTTTTTTTTTTTAGTTGGCTTCCACTGCAAATAATAACTCTCCTTCTTTCTTTCTCACTTTCCTTCCTTTCTTTTCTTTTTTTGGGGGAGAAAAGTTCTTGGGGAGCCTTGAATCATACTTAAGAAGTGCCTTATTACTCTGGCTACTGGAGTAATGGTGATTATTGTTTTCATTGTCACAAAGTAATTAATTATCAAAGGGAATCAAGATAAACACACTAATTGAAATTGACTTACTAGGATGACATTCCTTATTCTCTCTGTTTCTAACTGGAATCATTAGGTTTGTCTACTCATTGAGTATCTTTTTATTTTTTTTTTAAGATTTTATTTATTTATTTGACAGAGAGAGAGATAGCGAGAGCAGGAACACAAGCAGGGGGAGTGGGAGAGGGAGAAGCAGGCCTCCTGCCGAGCAGGGAGCCCAATGTGGGACTCGATCCCAGGACCCTGGGATCATGACCTGAACCAAAAGCAGACGCTTAACGACTGAGCCACCCAGGCGCCCTCGTTGAGTATCTTTTGACTGAAAGATGTTATCAACCCTCCTCCCTGACACCCCATCACCCATCAACTCCCCTCCCATAAATACACCCAGACACAGCTCTGAGATTTCTAGCCAGTCCTAGGCCCTCTGTGAATGCCTGCTGCATGATGACATGATTAAAGAGATAAACTGGCCAAGTCCCCACAGTCTCGGACTTCAGACTACATTGAATTAGGGTATGGCCTCACAAGATTTACAGTGTTTGCTTAAGACTGACACTTAAACTGAACATTAGAGAACACTCTGTCCCCCATTCCCCACTCCCAGGCTAACAAGCACTGAGTGAAAAGAACAGTGAATTACAGCTGGTAATGCTGCAAGTGACAGATTCTGAGGAGCAGACATTTAGTAAAACCCTCTGGCAAACTAATTCACATCTTGAATACTAAAAGCATTTGAAGCTTGAGGTGCACTGAGAATAACCGTAGCGACAGACTACAAACTAAGCCCATTTCATAACCAGATAAACACAAGTACTGGACAACAGGCATACCACAATGAAAGGTGAGCTCATTGAGCATTAAAAAAATTCTGTGAGCTCTCCCATAGGACATAGATTCTGTGATGCTGCCTCTTACTGCTTCTGATCAGGTGTTACTCAATTGCACTTTGTCCCATTACTGATGATCACTTCAATCACTTGATTATGGTGGGAGCTGCTAGGCTTTGCCGTAAAATTACTCTTCCCCCCTTAAAATTAAAAGGATTTCGTGGGGTAGTGATTTGATACTATAGGTCTCTTACTTCTCATCAAACTTTTGATTTGCACATTTATTTCTAAGTATATCTGTAGGGATGTGTGGTATCCTATTTGATTCAATAGGTAATAATGCCTCGCTATTAATATTTTGATGCTCAAATTGTCTTTAATTTTGCTGGTGGTAGCCCTTTCATGATAGTTCTTTCATCCTTTAGACATGGCCCATCAAGCACCTCCTTGCTTTTCTGTAAGTTGTTTGAGGTTTGTCTTGTTCTTTTCCCTGACACAACTCTGGGATCAACCATTTCTTCAAGGGCCCAGTTCAAGTGGAGAGTGTATTTAGAAGCCAAAATTCAGAAAGTGATGGACAGAATGACAACCTGAGATGTGATGTTTTCCTTTGTTCTCTTCAGGGTAGAAGACAGGCAAAGAGGACCCCTGTTCTGAATGAGTCCATGACACTACATCTCTACAGGTCACATCATTCTGAGGGAAAGAATCTCTGAAATGGTATGGTCTCCACTTTAAAGCAGGCAAAGGAAAATGGGGGGACAAGGCCCCAAGTACCTTTATAGGATTTACTTTTTAGTCCCACATCCTTTTTCCTTTAAAAATGCTTGTGATTAAAGAATACTGAATTGATTGAACCCTATTGGTGAAGTAAGAAAAAATGAACCAGACTGGGACTATCATAGAAGCTAGGCCACAGAAACCCTTCTACTACAGCTTAACAATGTTTGCCATAGGACAGGCATGTGATAATTGTTTTATGAATAATCATAAATAGGTTATTTTGATTAATTTTGTCTGCTATGTAGTAAATCCATTCACCCAGAGACTACAGTCCATTTTGGTTGCAAATATATTTTCTTATATTTTTAAAGTATTCTCTTGGGCCCATCTGATTTCTGCTTCTGAAATTCCTGTTGTGTAACAATTAAAATTGATATATCTTTTCCTCAGGAATCACCTTTTCTCTCTACCCTTTGAGTTTATCTGACTTCCTGGAGAATTTCTAAAATCCCTTTTACTTTATTGTGTTATCCTTCTACTTTATGTAATCTACTGTTCCAGTGTCTCCATCAAATTTTTCAACATTAAAATTTTGTCTCACCAGAATGTTCCTTTTTCTCTACTGCCTTTTCCAGAAATAAATATGCAGCATTCCTTCAAATCTCATTGAAATTATAAACTTGTGTACAAATGTCAGGACATTTGTTGCAATTCCTGGTAATTTTCTCATTTAAATTTCTAACTTTTCATATGTGATGATTTTTCTCTTTATTAATGTTTCATGATAACATGTTTTTCTAGTATTTGAACTTAAATGAGTTCTGCAGAGTGTGTGGTTTCTGCTCAACGCTTCCTTGCACATCCTTGAAGAGGGAAAGAACTGTTTACATCAGTTGTAGTTTTTTTTTTTTTCCATGCAAAACGTGCCCTCTTTAATACCCATCACCAGGCTAACCCATCCTCCC